TGGCGCAATGCAATCAGTCGGTGTATGTTCGGATGTAACGAGTGAGCACAGAGATTTTGTTCTGTTGCTGTTTCATGGCAATGAACTAAGGAGGCATACGATGCACAATCGTTAGCTTGTTGGAAGCCAGTCGAGAAGTGAGCGTTCATCTGTAACACCTAGCTCAATCCTGACACCGGCAACATCACGAATGTCAGATGCTAAATGACCTTACGTTTGGAGAGCGAATTGTGAGGATGAGATTAGCTGTGAATAAAGTGAATTGGCAATTTAGGTAAAGTACTGTACGCGTGCTTCGAAGACGCACATTTCCAGATTTCTGAGTAAGGCAGTTTTTGGCCGACCTGATAGTGTTTACGAGCATTGAATGCGTATAAATGAAGAGCAGATTTCGTTTACTCGATCAAAAGGCTTGTGACAGAATCACCTTTCTGGTTAAATTATATCCACCGAATGACAGAAACAGGAAGTATCTCGTATGATTTGCGAACTGATTGGATGAGAAAGAAGTCTGAAGCAAATCGATGTTTTGCTAGGTTATATTATTTTATCGCCGATCCACTCATCAGCGAAAATCGAAAGTTGATCTTGCAGTGAGTTTATGTTCGTTATTACAGCTAGTGGTTCGGTGGCTGACGTGAACCCATTGATAGTGCTACGTTGATCGGTATTCTCTAGTCGGTTATATTACCGAGTACCGGATTTCTTCTCTTATTTACTCTCGTCACAGTGTGGTTAGTGAGCTAAAGACCACCGTTTGTGTTCAATCCTCGTTCGTTAGATGTGGTTCCCACTGGTGACTGAACCAAGCAATTTCTTTCAATTCGAGTCAACTCACGAAATACATTTTTATCTCACTCTTGGTCTCGGGCAACTGTCGCACTTTGTATGAAGTAGTCCTCTCTCGCTTTTATGTAGTCTCTGTTGGTAAATCTCACGCCACCATCTTAGGAACCAACTATGTCAGGATATGACCACCCGGATCGAAGTATTCCTTATGACAAACAGTCTGAGGCCTTATCAGATAGAACTGAACGCGAATGGGTTCAGCCAATTCAACCGTTACTGTTCTTGCCCCTAACTATCTTATGTACAGAAAACCTGTTTGACTCTCGCCGTTTGTTTGTATAGCGATGAACGGAACACGTTGTTGTAACTGGTTTTAATACCCGGTGTTCGAAGCTTACCACAATTACTTTCCCACAATAGTGTATAGATTTGCTGCTTTTTCGACATTGAGTGGTTCACTACCTCGGGTCTCAAGCTTTAGATTTCTGGTATTCCTAACTAAATAGTCTCTTTGACTAGGGTTTATCGCTTCCTGTTGATACAATTTATGACTGGCGGGATATGCACAGCCTCAATAGAGACTCCCCCAACTACTAATATGTACTACTTTGTACACAAAATCCCTATTCTTTTAACATAATTCCATTTTAGTTTCCTTGATGGGACGGAAAATAAAGAGAACTAACGATAACTCGGCTAAATATTTGTCAATCATGAGAAAAATAGTGGCGAATTTCCTGCTCATTTTACTGCAACCACTTTATCGGTTGTTGTAATACTCTTAATCATTCAAGTTTTAGACGTAAAGAACATCTCACTCTGCACTCTAATAAAAGCAATTTTCAATTTGTTTAGGTAATGTAATAATCAAAGTTCCTCAATCTCGCAATCCGAATAATAATCCCACACACTTAAATTCTAGAGTTCACTTTGTGTGAGTGTGTTGGCCATTACATCGTTTGCATTTGACGGTTTGTTTCAAACCTCACGGACGATCCTTATTCGATGAGGAGCTTTACTGCTATTTTGCGGTAAACACTCATCGAATGCGGTTGTGCTTAACACGAAACAAGTATTTTGAACCATGTTGATCTGAAAAGGTTAAAAGGTTGTGATACAAAACATTGTATTTGGGGAGGTGATCATTTTTGTTGCCCCTATGTGTAACCACTGATCAATTTTTATTTGTGTTTGTACTGAAGCTTTAGCAATTTATACACCAGGTTTCAGCCAAATAGAAACCGCCGTTACAATAGTGGCCAAAATAGTGCAACATCGAGCCTGCAAAGATGTGAATAAGACCAATAAATGCATCAGAATGCCCAGAACGAATACTCCTTGTCATTCAGCGTCCGGGTAAGATAATATACCCATAGGTTTCTGTCAACAGATATGCGAGGTGAGGTAAAGTACCAACCAGCTGGTCATTGGTTTCTGTAGATACATTACAGCTTCAATTGTTCGCCGCGAATCTCTTGAGTGTGTTAGGATGATTAGTTTATTAATTAACGAACTGGAGGACAGTTGGTGTGTGCTCAACACGTGACCACCTTCTGCCGTAGTGGTTTGGGACCGATGTCTTTCACAATTTCTTGATTCGTTCCATTAAC